GCAGGTCCCGGCTGGATTCGAACCCGCCACCTTAGGTGTATGTGGCTGGTGTCTTAACCGCTTGAGCCACAGGCGCTGAGCCGTTTTTCCCTCCTTTCAAATTGTACTCTTAGAGCAATGGTTCTTTTCAGAGGCAGAGTACCTTTAATCAGATTTCTCTTTTTAAAGTAAGTAAGATTTTTTCTTATAAAGAAGTAGGGATTTGCCTAGATTATTCACTGCAAGTCTCTGAATAAATGCTATATTGTTGGACCTTTTTTTTCTTCTTCATTTTTTTTCACAGATGCTGCCCAGACCTTTTTTTTTTTTTTTAAGACAGTCTCAAGCTGTCACACTGGCTAGAGTCCTGTGGCGTCACAGCTCACAGCAACCTCTAACTGTTGGGCTTAATTGATTTTCTTGCCTCAGCCTCCCAAGTAGCTGGGATGACAGGTGCCTGCCACAATGCCTGGCAATTTTTTGGTTGTAGTTGTCACTGTTTTAGGCCAGCCTCAGTGTATATGGCTGGCGCCCTACTCACTGAGCTATGGGAGCTGCCTGTTGGACCTTTTTTGACACGTGTTTTAGGCCAACTCTAAAATGGCCATTATAGTGGCCATTAATTCCATTTAAAGCTCCTGCAGTCTTAGGTGGGATATAGAAATGAGAAATCGCAGTACCCTTTTGGACCATAACCAGGAGTAATGATCAATAGTCTTGTTTTCTCTCAGTAATAGGGAAGTGGGAATACATTTATTTTGAATTAGATTGAAACACACGTATATATTTTAGTTTTCTTCCTAAATGAATTAATGTAAATTAGTGTGAACTTGCTGAACATTCCTCAGTTTTGGTAAAAGAGTAACTTGGCCACTTTCAGGCAAAAGAAAGCCATGTAGAATGGCTCTGCTGTCTCATTTCCAGGTGGGCAAGTTAATTTTATTAACTTCTCGGTGACCTGTTTTGTTTTTATCAGTTATATTCTCTTGAGGCTAAGTCAGAGAGATTGGCATAGTCCCCACAGTACTAATTAGGTCATCTCCGGGGACATCTGTATTTTAGTGATGAAAAGCCCTGTGATTTCAATCTACTTGGCTTGCTATATGTAAAATTTTCCACATGGAGTGTATGTCTACACCTTGGTTTCTCCGTTAATCATGAGAGATGACACCAGGTGCTTGCCACAAGGTGGCGCCAATGAGCTGTAGAAGAAGTTAGACTTAACACTTGGCCTTTTTCCTGCCTCCTCCCCTCAAACCTCAATTACTCTGCTTCCAGCTTCCACTAAACAAGGCGGAAAACCATACATTCTGTTATTGCAGGGAATGGGAAGGATTAATGGAGGATGTCATTTTCTTAAGAAGTCAACACAGAAGCATTCTTCCTAAATCAGGAATGGAGTTCGCTGAGTTTTCTCTGGGGTCTTGGCTTCCTACAGCTAGCTCCTTGGTCTGGGTGACTGCCCAAAAGGCCTCTGCCTTCATGTTTCCATCTCTTTCCCCTCCAAGGGAGCCTGCAGCCTAGGCGGGAGGTGGTTAAGGCTTCTGGCTGCTGTGCAGTGGGGCCATCTGTGTTTGATCAGTCCAGGCGGGAAGGAGGGGGTGGGGGTTGTAAAGAGACTGGGAAAGCATTCCAGAGTAGTGAGAGAGACCCAGAGATCAGAAAGAGAAAGCCCCGCCCCCACCCCGCCTCTCAAGCTAACCCGCGGGCTTGAGGGGAAGAGGCCACTGCACACTCGTCCCAGTTCTATGGTGGCCCCACTCTCCCGGCTGCCATGGGGCCCAGCTCTTCTCTCCTCATCTTGTTCCTTTTGTCCTGGTCTGGACACCTTCGAGGACAGCAGCACCACCTTGTGGAGTACATGGAACGCCGGCTAGCTGCCTTAGAGGTGAGGAACTCTTTTCTAGACCAGCCTGGAAGGATACCTCATCTTCCGTTGGTTCAACTACTTTGATAAGGGTCTGGGGATGACAAAATAGGGTTCTGTAAGAACCTACAGAAAATTCTGTCTTTTAATAAGAGGATCCTCAAAATTATAAGCCTTCCTCTTTCCCCACATAGAACAACAATTCCAAAGCAAATGGATCTTTGTAATTTATCCCTAGGATTTAGTTCAGATAAGGGCACAGAGTGAAAATGAGAGCCAAGATTGTGGGGGTGCATCTCAGAAAAAGCTGACAGTTCTATTGAAGTTGCAGGTTCCCAGAGCGTCTGTAGCTGCTTGCCCTTTTTAGCAATTTGAGGTCTTAGTGCCTTAATTTCCTACAGGGGAATTGTGTAGTAGAGCAGAGATCCCTTCTACCTTCATGCACTTAGACCTCCCTGGGGTTCAAACGACTCAGTGGCCCAGGTTGGAGACAGGGAGTCAGGGCAGGGACCTAGGTGAATCTGAGCTGGGCTTTTTGCACATTTTGAATCTCTGAACATCTGGTTCCTTTCTCGTGGGAGTAGAAGGAGGCATTGAAGCCTGGCTAAGTCTGCTCTTCCCATTACTGACCCCTTGGTTGGGCCTCTCCCTGCCTGGGAGTTGTAACCCCGCAGCCTCCCTCCTGGGCCCCCATCCCTTCAGGAACGGCTGGCCCAGTGCCAGGACCAGAGCAGTCGGCATGCTGCAGAGCTGCGGGACTTCAAGAATAAGATGCTGCCGCTGTTGGAGGTGGCAGAGAAGGAGCGGGAGGCACTCAGAACTGAGGCGGACACCATCGCAGGGAGAGTGGACCGTCTGGAACGGGAAGTTGACTATCTGGAGACCCAGAACCCAGCTTTGCCCTGTGTAGAGTTTGATGAGAAGGTGACTGGAGGCCCTGGGACCAAAGGCAAGGGCAGAAGAAATGAGAAGTACGATATGGTGACAGGTGAGTGTTCAGGAGGCAGGCCCCTTGCGTTCTCTGAACCTGCATTCTTCCTTGCTTATTTTTTCCACTTTGCCCCGGTCCACGTGGCTCTGGATTCTGGCATCTATAGTAAAGAAATCTCTGGTCCATTAAGGGGAGTTTCTGGAGACCCAGCCCACTGTTCTCCAAATAGCTGCCCTGGGGGAGGTCCTGCTGTAGGCATCCAATTCTTCCCTCTATTTCCGTTTCCTGTGTTTTTCTCCTTCCCCACCAGACTGTGGCTACACAATCTCTCAGGTGAGATCAATGAAGATTCTGAAGCGGTTTGGTGGCCCTGCTGGTCTGTGGACCAAGGATCCATTGGGGCCAACAGAGAAGATCTACGTGTTGGATGGGACACAGAATGACACCGCTTTTGTCTTCCCAAGGCTCCGTGACTTCACCCTTGCCATGGCTGCCCGGAAAGCTTCCCGAGTCCGAGTGCCCTTCCCCTGGGTAGGCACAGGGCAGCTGGTGTATGGTGGCTTTCTTTATTATGCCCGGAGGCCTCCTGGAGGACCTGGAGGAGGCGGAGAGTTGGAGAACACTTTGCAGCTCATCAAATTCCACCTTGCAAACCGGACGGTGGTGGACAGCTCAGTATTCCCAGCAGAGGGGTTGATCCCCCCATATGGCCTGACCACAGACACATACATTGACCTGGCAGCCGACGAGGAAGGTCTTTGGGCTGTCTATGCCACCAGAGAGGATGACAGGCACTTGTGTCTAGCCAAGTTAGATCCACAGACATTGGACACAGAGCAGCAGTGGGACACGCCATGCCCCAGAGAGAATGCTGAGGCTGCCTTTGTCATCTGTGGGACCCTATATGTGGTCTATAATACCCGCCCTGCCAGTCGGGCCCGCATCCAGTGCTCCTTTGATGCTAGCGGCACCCTCACCCCAGAACGGGCAGCACTCCCTTATTTTCCCCGCAGATACGGTGCCCATGCCAGCCTCCGCTATAACCCCCGAGAGCGCCAGCTTTATGCCTGGGATGATGGCTACCAGATTGTCTATAAGCTGGAGATGAGGCAGAAGGAGGAGGAAGTTTGAGGAGCTAGGCTTGTGTTTGGAATCTCTCACCTCCATATGTTTACACTCCTACTAAATTTCCTCTCCTCATCCTTCAATGCGGGCAAATTGCAGCTCAAATCCTCACCAAATTCTCATAGCCCTTTAATTTCATATAGAACCCCAGATCTTGAGTAATCCTTTTGCAGTAAAGAGTAAAAACCCTCAATCCTCACTCTACTCTCCTGCCCCGTGTTAACAAATTTCAGGCTAAAGATGACTCAGCCCCAGAGCTCCAACCCTTGTATGGGGGCCACCCCAGGGAGTAGGCAAGTGTGCTCTCACCCTCTGTGTGACTTAGGGGACAGAGGAATAGGAGGAGACTACCCCTCTCTGCCCTCGCTCCCTGCCCCTCCCAGCAGGGTCCCTTTCTCCACATCATTTTGTATTGCAACATTTTGCATTAAATGGAAAATACACCATTTCTCTCCCGTGTTTGTTTGGGGGTGCCCACCGATCAAATTTCTCCCTGTTACATTCCATTTTCTTCCTCTCATCACATCCCCACCCCTTAAGCCACCTTAGAGACTTGGCTGGGAACCCTCTGCTGAGGCCCTAAGAAGTGGTGGAATCCTGCCACCTTGGGGCTGGATGAAAGGCCTCCTGCCATACCCACTGTCATTCACAGCAGCTACCCCAGATCCTCCTCAGTGGCACCGTGCCTTTGGCCAAGAGACTCAGGGCTGGGGGCAGAGCTTCCAACTCCAATTCTCCGAAGATCTGGAGCCAGAAACTGGATGCGAATTCTACTGAAGTCTGCCCTGGAGACCAGAGCCCTGCATGCATGTTTTTAGTAAGCACTGAGGTTTCACCTCCAAAGTGGACTCTGCCCCCACTGACACCCCCACGGCCACCTCCAGCGCGGGGCTCTTCCCCAGGCCCGGGTTGCACAATCTTTCTTGGTCTGAACCGCTCTGATTTTCCTGCTGCCACAGCGTCTGCGGTTTGAGCAGGGAGGAGGGGCAGTAACTGTGTCCCAGATGTTGGCCTTTCTGGATCCCCAACATTTCCCCACTCTCCTCTCCAGCCCAGCTGCCCCCCTACTTACCCACCCCAGTCCTGGCTGAGGACTGTCCAGGACTCTGGAAGGTTAACTCTTTGTGGACTAACACCCTGGCCTCTGGTGCTGACTGCAGGAGCAGGCTGAGGAAAGGAGAGAGAGGGAGGAGAAGGAAAGCGCCAAGGTTCGGCCTCTGGTCTCTAGGGATCTGCTGCTTTTGGCAACTGGCCCACGCCCTGCCTGCCCTGATCCCAGTCGGGTCCATTCCCAGTGTTGGGGGTGGGGGCCTGGTCAGTGGAAAGCCGCTGCTTTTATGGAGTAGTTTACCCCAGGTGACCCTGAGAGTCCTCTTAGTTATTCACCCTGTGGAGGGTGGGGGCACAGCTTGCTCCCCAGAGCACAGCCCTCCTCCTTTGTCTTTTCTGCTCTCCCCAGGCAGCACTGCTGTAGGCTGGTGAGGGAGAGGAAAGAAAGGCAGTGAGCACCTCACCACAGTGCTATTGTAGGGAGCGAGGTGGGTGGGGCTCGCTCCCATTCAATTCTCTCCTAATGTGGGGCTGGCAACAGTAATGACTGCCTGTCAGCGCCCAGGGTCTGCCCACGGAACATCTGGCTCCAGCGCAGGCACGGCGCCCCGGGGGTTGTGGAGGAGGAAGGGGGCTCAGGGCGGACTGAAGAGCCTGGTCTAGGTGATGAGGGGCCGCTGTGACTGTGTGTTCACTGGGGAGCTTGTCCCCTCCCTAATGTGACTGTGTGAGTGTGCACAGCCTGCGTGTCCCAGGGGAGCATGCCTCCGCCCTTGGTGACTGTGTGTGTGCATGCATGTTGCTGGGGAGTGTGTCTCCTCCCTGTGTGTGTGCATACGTGTGTGTGTGCATGTGCATGCCCACATGCACTTCCACACAGGTGGTTCTGGGTCCAGTTGATGCCCACAGAAGTGGCATGATGTTTCTTCTCTGGTTGTGGACACCACCTCTTGTCATGCATCCATCTTCTGGGCCGGTTCCACCAGGCGCTCATATTGGCAGAAACGAAAATGAGTTCCAGTTTCTTCACACAGTCTGGATGTTGGCATCTAGAGTGACTGGTTAGTGTGGCTGGGTCTGAAAGACTGGCGTGAAGGGATACTGGGGTTCTGCCTGCCCTGCGGGGAAAACAGGTTAGGAAGAGTAAGGTTTAGTTTGAAAGAAGAGCCATAGTGGAAGATGAAAGAGAGCATGGGACAGGTTGAGTGATACCCATTCAGCTTCTAACATGTAACTCTTTTTTGGTTGCAGCCATCATTGTTGTTTGGCAGGCCCCGGCTGGATTCGAACCCACCAGCTCAGGTGTATGTGGCTGGCGCCTTAGCTGCTTGAGCCACAGGCGCCAAGCCTAACATGTAACTCTTGAAGGTGGAGGCTTAAAAGAAGAAGTGTTTAAAAAGGGCCATGGCAGGGGGGTAAAAAGTAAAAAGGAATTTATGGATGAAAAATGGAGTTTCTTGATCCCTGATCTTGGGGAAAAGCTGTCTACTTCTTGAAGACATCTGCTTCAGGGGCCTGGGAACTGGCCCTGGAAATCCTTGTTTTTAGGTCACTTGTAGGGGTCATCCTTTAATTGTCTGGGTATAGTTGGGCATGGTTTGTGTGAATCCAGGAGGATTTTTCTTTTACTTTTAAGGCAGAGTAAGTAGTTAACAGGGTCTTCCTAGTGAGGTGACAATGCATGTCTTCTAGACTTTCCATGTGATCTGAGCCAGGCTCCCTTCACCTGCTGACAATATGCTCTGAGCATAGTTAGTACCTATATGTAGCTAGTCATGATATTAGATCGTTCACTTAAACATCCGTAGTGTTCTGTCAGTCCAGGAATGGGTTTGTAGGTGTCATAGGCGTGACGTTATAGAACACTATTTACCAAAGGGGTTAAGCCGTGTCTCCTAATGGGAGCCTTTCAAATTTTTGCAAGGACCAAAGGAAATGTTTCTGGCCATTTAAGTCCAGTGCCTTAACAGGCTTTCCTCAAAATCATTTTTATTTATAGATTTTATGTTCCACTTGCCCTGAGGATTGGGGATGATATGGGGTTTGAAATTTTAATAAGTATTCCAGAGCCTTTACAAGCAAGTGCTTTAAAATGGGTCCCTTGATCTGAGTCAGTCCTTAAAGGAATACCAAAGTGAGGCATAATCTCAGTTATTAGTTTCTTTAGCACATTTGTAGCATCCAGTCTGTCCTAGTCATGTAAACAATAGCCAAACAGTGAGAAAAGCCAAAAGCTGAAAGTAAATTTGTAAAGTCAATTTGGAATGCCAGAAAGCGATGGGATTGTCTGAGCCTCTGAGGGCAAGTTTCCTACAGAGATTTGGTGAGATTAACAAGTAGGGCACTGGGAAATAATTTGGTCAGAGGTATTGCAGATCCCAGGGCAATACCAACTATATTCTCTCTCTCTCTCTCAAAAAAAAAAAAAATAGCCAAATATTGCAGTGGACACCTGTAGTCCCACCTACTTGGGAGGCTGAGGCAAGAGAATCACTTGAGCCCAAGAGTTTGAGGTTGCTGTGAGCTGTGATGTCATGGCACTCTACCCAGGGCAACAGCTTGAGGCTCTGTCTCAGGGGGAAAAAAAGCATCCTTTTAAGGGAAACCAAGAGGCCTTAACTAAGGTTATAGCATAATCAAGAAAGCAAGAGGTTATCTTCAAAGCGGTGGAGAAGAGTCATTCCAAGATCCAGAAAGTCAAAAAAGCAACCTCAAGAAGGAAGTCTCAATAGCCATAAACAAGGTGTAGCTCACAATTTTTTTTTTTTTGTCTAGCCTTATTTTTTACAGTCCCAGTTTTTTAGCTGACCTTTTTTTTTTTTTTTTTGAGAAAAAGTCTCACTATGCCACCTTCTGTAGAGTGGGGTAGCATCACAGCTGACAGCAACCTCAAACTCTTGGGCTTAAGTGATTCTCTTGCCTCAGCCTCCCAAGTAGCTGAGACTACAGGCTCCTGCCACAATACCCAGCTATTTTTTTGTTGTAGTTGTCATTGTTGTTTGGCAGGCCTGGGCTGGGTTCAAACCTGCCAGCCCCGTGTATGCAGCCGGTACCCTAACCACTGAGTTACAGGTGCCAAGCCATAGCTGATCATTTATACATAAATACCTAAAATCCCCATATGTCTCTATAGAATACAAGAAAGGAAAAATTGTGCACAAAAGGGAAGAGAATCAATGAAGGGTGAAAGTCATACAAATTTCAAACCAGAACAGGCTCATTGGCTACCCAGGAATCAAATCTAGGCTGCTGAGATGAAAGCACAGAACTTTAATCGTTCAGCTGCAGGGTAAGTTGACCTCTGCCATTATTCCCACAGAGGGGGAATGTTCAAAGATTTTTCTTTCTTTCTTTCTTTTTTTTTTGAGACAGAGCCTCACTCTGTTGCCCAGGCTAGCATGCCATGGGCTCAGCCTAGCTCACAGCAACCTCAAACATTTGGGCTTGAGCAGTCCTCCTGTCTTGGCCTCCTGAGTAGCTGGGACTACAGGCGCCCACTACAACATCCAGCACATTTTTCTGTTTTTTGTAGAGATGGGTTTTGCTCAAGCTGGTCTTGAACTCCTGAGCTCAAGGGACCTTCCTCCTTGGCCTCCCAGACTGCCAGGAGTACAGGCATGAGTCACTGGCCTTCAAAGAATTTTTTTTAATCTTGTTTTAGATTACTCCTCAATTTTGTCAAGAGAATTTTTAAGGCTACCCATAACATTATGTGTCTTTCTCTTAATCTAATTTCTCTACTAATGCCAATAAGGCAATTGTTTCAAATAAGAGCTCTCTAAAATTTGTCTTTATGAAAATTTAGAAGTCTTTTAATTTAAAGGATTCATCTTTTGGCCCTTTATCTCCATGGCATATTTATTCCAAAAGTGACTCAATCATAGAGAACTCAGGTAGCAATTTTCCAGGTTTAGCATGGAGATGGCACAGAGAAGGCAGAGTCCCAAAAATTCACTTTCAGAAATAGACAAAATGACAAAGACATTTTAAGACAAAGACTTCCCCTAGAGCTTGACATGTTCTGTGGAGAGACTGAGCTGCTTAGAATCTTACACATCTCAGACTCCCAATCTTTTCAGACAGGCCACCTGATGTGTTCCCTAAAACCCATGCCCCCCAGCTGGTGGAGACGGAGGAAAAAATTCCCAACTCTGTCAAAAGACAAGCTCAGGGACGTGAAACAGGACAGGAGAGCAACCTCATATGGTCTTTGTTTTCAGGGACCCGTCGCAAAGTTTGTCTGAAGTAGATGTAGGTCCAGCCAGAACCATGGAACTGGCTAATCTGCAGGGCTGGCTCTGACGCTGGGCGGATGGGATGCTCGGCCCGAGTTCTGCACTAAGGTGACTCTCTGTATGACTCACACAATACAGAAAGACAAATGAAAAAAGGAA